GGGGGGAAGAGGGAGCAGAGCTGAGCCCGGCAAAAAGGGAGGGGCTGGGGGAAGGTGCGGTGTTTTTAAGACCTGGTTGTAGCTCTCGTTATCCTTGATGGTGGTGGTTGTTTTGTATTAAATGTATGTTTTTACTCCCAAGTTGGGTCTATCTTTTGCCCGTGGCCATGATTGGTGAGTGAGCCCTCCCTGTCCTGTGTCTCAACCCTCAAGCCTTTTTGCTTTTTTTGGTCGTATTTTCTCCTCCTCATCCCTCAGGGGACGGGGTAGGGTTGAGCAAGAGGCTGCTGGTGCTTTGCTGCCCAGCTGGGTGGGCTCAAGCCATGACACGACTTTAACACCTGCTTTAGATTTAGTGCTTCCCTGACAAACTGAATGCTTTTTCTCCCTCCTTCAGTACCTCCTGACCCATGAAATCTTCCAGCTTCTATAAACAACATCTCTTTTGGATAATCCACATGCTTAAAAATTCCTTTGCTCAGGAAAAGATTGTTCCTTTTCCTCCTTGTTCAAGAGCTCATTTCTATATCTGGGCTGTAACCCTTATTACAGAAATATTCTCTATGATTTCCTAGCTAGAAGTCTCAAACTGCCATAAAGTACCAGCAGAGTTTACTAGAGCAATCAAATTACCAGATTACCACAGATATATGCCACATAATACAAATTACCACACCTATACCATGCTTATCTGTTTTCAAGCTTTGAACAATCAACTTTATCGATTTTGCAATATCTTACTTTCTCAGTATCTTTCTTGCCACCGTCTATGGCCTTTGAAAGGACCAAGGCTGTCCACATTGTCCATTGAGCTGTTGTGATCTCCCACTCTTTTACTTTGTTTGGGCATCTTTTGCTGTGTGCAGAGCATCTGCAGCAGGGATACACAACCGTAAATTAAAAGCAATTATTTATTGACCAATGCACCACAAAGATGTCTGCAATTTAATGAGGCTAATGTGTTCACTATTCCCTTAGTATTGCACCTCCATTTCATGACTGAATTCCTTCCAGGGCCTCCCACTTCGTCTCGATCTTGCTGGCCAGTAGTCGTGATTTTGTTCACGCTATGCCTGGCATTGCTGATGGCACTGGTGACCCTGGCAGTTTTGTGTAAGTACTAATGCATTTCTGTTTGCTGGGGGGCTCAAGCTACCGAATAACATCAGATTGACATCTCCTTCAGGTGGAATTTCTGGTTCAGCTGAAAACAGACAACCGGGCAAACCAAATATTTTCCCTTGCCACAGCATCTTTGTCCTCTTCTCAATGTGATGAGGCTAGAAATGAGCAACCTAGAGGGGAGCTGGAAAGGGGTGGAGAAAGAGAGTTGCTGCTTGCTTTGGCTGCCATTGTTTGGTCTCCTAAAAACTGTAACCACAATCCGCTGTACTGACTAACAATGGAGTTAATTCCTCTTTGATAATGCTGGATCTGAAGGGAAGGTAAAAGCTTTATGTCCCAGTAAATAGGTTGTGCCCATTACCTCCTATTTGGAACAATTCCACTGTAAACCAGAGCTGAAGTTCACATTTTTAGGGAAAAAAAGCACAGCCTGGAAACCAGTATAAAAAAGAGACACCATGGAAATACATGATAAAAAGTAACACTTTAATTTTGTTGTTCACACACAGCCATATAGTAAGAAATCCACTATGTAAATGTTCACCATCTCAACAGCCCTTACATTCAACTATTTAGAGAGGAATAACATTTATCCCGAGTGGTTTATTTATCCCTAATGACCTGCTGAGACATTCCCTATCTGCATCCCACCCCTTATGAAGGACAGCACTGGAAAATGTGTTATTGTGAATTTCAGTTTTCCAGATTCCCAAAAACTACAGGACACAACTTAGAGACCTCAACATGACGAAGAATGAGCTGCATACAAGTTTCTCAAATATGCTGCGAGCAATAGGAAATCAACTGTGTTTGGAAGGAGAAGGAAACCCTAAAAACAATGGTAAATCAAAAAGGGCTTATCTTTCAACATGGCAGGGAAGGAAATGAGATGTGTCTTCTGTGTCTACTCAGGTCTGTCTCCTCAGGTGAGCCTGTGTCTTCTCAGATGTGACCACCTAGAAAGTAAGCAATGAGCATGTCTGCCTTATGCAGTGCCTGGAGAGAGGTGCCCAGCCTGGCCATATGTGCAGTGGCGTGGGACCTGGCAGTGGTACTAGGGTTTCAGGATTTAGTTTCCCTAAGAAAATGATTCTGTGGGATGCCTTCTGGACATGCCAGTTCCCATCAGCACTAATTCAGGGGTCTCTACAACACACTCATTTGCATCTAATACACAATTTTACAGTGGTGCCTGAGAATTAAACAATCCTACTGCACTCTATGTGAACAGCAGTCCATACACAGTGTCGTGTGCTAGTACCGACCCCAGTTAAGACAGGAATCTCCTAAAGCCAGAAGTGATGTGCAGTGAAGCATAGCTAAAGCAATCTGTGAGTTCACTCCCTGTCTCCTGACTGTGTACAATGTAGGGCTGTTTCTGAAATCAGTTTGCCACAGCTCAGTTGTTTAAGTGGCATCTGACAATGACCCAGCCAGAGAAATAGTTTTTTTCAGAAATTATACTCTGAGGAGCAGGGGCATCGGGCAAAGGGATCCTGTTGTGACTGTTGGGAAAGGGGATTTCATTTGTTCGGGTATTGTTCCACGGACAAGCTGTCTAGGTCTCCCTTGTAGTTAATGAAGATAACTTGGTAGCACAAGGGTACAGTCTGTTTCCTCCCAAGAAAGACACTTGAAATGACAGAAAAAGCACTTGTGAGACAGACCTACTTCTGTCCATTGACTAAAATGGGAATCTGGATGGGTTGACTCATGTCACCTTTGCAGACTCCTAAAATTAAACAAAATAAATCCCATTTGCAACACCTGAACCTCCTCCCAGTGCTAAAGGAATGGGAGAGATAGGGGGATGATTCAGTCTTCATCTCTGTTGTTACCTGAAGCTTCTTGGACCACAGTGGGATTTTGACTGAATGGGGACCGTCTCAAACATCCTCAGTCCCTACGGATCTTGCTGTCACCGGCCAACAGCAATGTTCTGTGAGGAACAGCCTGGAAACAGAAACAGGGTGATGGTTTGATGGTTTTCCTCTCCCAGGCCAGAACTGTGTACTCTGCCCCGCAAACTGGAAGTGGGAAGGTGGTGATACATGTTACTACTGCTCTGAGGAAAAGAGGTCGTGGGAACAGAGTCACCAGTTTTGTTCCTCACAAAACTCTACTCTTCTTCTGACAAAAAAGGCAGCAAAGCTGGTATGGACTGGTTTCTTACTCTGTTTACCATGGAGAAAGTTCATGAACCCTATCAGCTGCTTGACTCACACACAATTTTCTTAAATGGCACTGTAAACAGGAGTTTTTCTAAGTGGTTAGGTTTTCCTGGGCAGTCCTAAGGCATAGGGCTGGTCATAGCTAGACAAAGTGGGGCCTTTTGAGCAGCTGATGGTTGGAGACAGCCTATCTTGTCTCAGCTTGCCGTGACTGGCTACTTACTGGGATGACTGGTGAAAGTGGATTCATGGCTGTTTTGTTGTGGGCAATGATGTCACTAATTTATTAAGTGTTATATATCCATACAAGGATTTGATAAAGTGTTAGTGTGAAAACCTCCTTTAACCTGGTGTCTCCATAGGCAAACCATAGTCCTCCCCATTTTGTAGAAGTTCTTTCCACAAAAGTTGATCTCATCTTTTCAATCAAAATTAAAACACTTGGCAGCGAGTTGCTGAAATCTGGCCTAATCTTTTAGTATATGAAAACAAACTGAGATGGGAAGAGAGAATGCGAGGTGTAGAGTGAAATAATGCTTTTGCTTCTGGATGCCAGCAGACATATTGGAAGACTGAAGGCAGAAAAGATGTCCCAAGAGCTAGCAGTCAGGGCTGGGCCTGCCTCCTCTCCAACACTCAACAGATGCCAGTTCCCCTCTCACTGAGCTGCAGGCTATAAGGTTTATCCCAGAAGTTAAGGGGAGCAGCTTTATTCTCGCCCTCCCAAATTGATGACAGCAAAGATTGTGAGGTGCAGTCTGTTCTAGCTGTCTTAATCACCGCATTGAGAGGTATAAGGAAAAAAAAAATGGAGAAGTGTTCTGGGGGTGACAATGTAAGTGAAGGAAGAGAACAACAGAAAAATTGAATTAAAATCTTTAGAGATTTCCCTGAAGCAGCAGTGAGAAAGGCAGCATTATTCAAGTTTACATTCTTACCTGTTCTGCTCAAAGCATTTTTTAAGAACTGAATGCTTAACTTTAAGACCTCTTCTACTTGTCATGGTCCAGCTTCTGACAGTAAGTTAATGATGCTAGAGCCAAGTGTGAAGGTTCAACAAATCAAACCAAACAACTCCCTGCAGAGGCTTCCTTTTCGCCGTTCACAAGTGCTAAGGACAGAGTAAAGGGGGAGGAATGATTCATGACTAAAGGGAGGAGAACTATTCAGTGTTTCATCCAGAGGGGTTAAGTCAAGTTGATGAGGGTGACATTGCTCTTCAGAGATAGAAGTGTATCTTCTCTCTGATTAAAAACAGCTCTACTGTCATTTCTTCTTTGATACTAGGCATCTCCTTTAAGTGCAGAACTTGTCATGACAGGTTTATAATCTGTGGTATTTATTCTTTAAGCAATTTCTATCAATGCTTTCAACTTGTGAGCCTAAATATTATTTTTTTTATATCTTCCTGAATGTCTGTTTTGAATTGTCCTTACCCTGCTTAGGAACTGATAAAAAAAATTCCTAGAGGATCATACTGGATTGGATTAGAATTCAGAGCTGAACAGAGAGACTGGTATTGGGCAGACAACACAGCTCTTACAGCAGAACAAAAGTCTTGGTAAGTGAACAGATTTTCCACAGTACATACAGTTGGTCTTCAACCACACGCAACTCCCAGTTTCTCTGACACAAAGGGCACATTGAACAACCAACTTTTATGGCGCTTTCTCTGCACTCTGGTTCTCACTTTTCCGTTTCAGATTTTTCTTGGCCTCACCCAGAACTGCTTGCAGGCTGACCTAAGCCCTATTACAGGGCAAAAAAAGTACCTGGAAAGTTTATTTCCACATTTTAGTTTCAGATTGACCATAGATGTCATGTTTCTCTTGTATTTGACAACTACTTTCAGTGAGGTCACAAGGGGAAAACTTGAATGGAAAGGTTTTTAATTTCATGCTTTTGACTTTATACTTTTTTTAATATATATAAACACTTTATATATATATATATAAAAATATACACTATTTATTCTCTAGACTCATTTCATTTCAGTTTAACATGTTATTTCAGAAATACAATGTATTTTTCTTCTTGCTTTCTAATCTCCTTTTCATTATCGGACAGTCTCCTCTTAACATTTCTGTTGAAACAGCCACTGACACCCTCCAGTCAGTACCCACGAGTTAGTGTTTCTTACTGTCAGGTACAAGAAATGGTTTAAGATCCATGCTTAGAATCTGCTGGGGGTGCTTGTTGTCACGTTCAGGACAGGGTCAGCCTCCTAGGAATTGGTGCATTGTGTCAATGAATGATTTATTTCTTTGTTGGGGGGATATATTCTTTGTAAAAGCCACATCAGTACTTCTTGCAAAGACAGGTCTTTTCAGAAGGGGCAAGGATGCACCATTTGAATGAATTGAGATGTAACAGTAAAGATTTTTCTTTTCTAGGATAAAGTTTGCAAACTACCCCGAATACTGTGGATATTTTTATCCTACTGGCATATATAGTGCACCATGTAAAGAAGAGCTATACTGTATCTGTGAAAAGCCTGTCATCCAATTACAGCAAGATAACAACCGTTGGCAGGAGGACTGGTTTGTCGGACCAAAATGATAATGAAAACCTAGAAGATGTTCTGCAAGGTTGGAATTTTTTATTTTGTTTTTGAGAACTATCACATGAGAATTTAAATATGTTGGATCAGACCTAATACGTTTCCCTGTTTTCGTTCTCTTTTAGACATATGTAAAGATATCTTCATACTAACAAAACAGGCATGGTGACGGGCTCCAGGAGTGACACAAGTCTGTCGTTCCAGATGTAAAATTGCCAAATGATTACTCAGTTTTAACTAGCACAAGTGATGGACAAAATGGCCAGAAGTGATGGCTGGGAAAAAAAAGCGTAGTGACAAGGCAAGCGTGTAAATATACAGCTCCTCTCCCAGCATCGACTGATAGAGTCCAGCATCCACCAATACAGTCCCAATACCACTTCTCAGTTCATAACTGTACAGCTGTAACGTAACACATGTGATGAGGATTAAACGCTCCCATTCAGAAGACTCTCCTGATGTCTTGTTGATCTGACTGCTTTAATACACAATTAGGCTGGAGTATACAACACATAAACACAGTTATCCTGAGAAGGTGGACAAAATGTTCCTGAACTGTATTAATAATCATTAATGCTCTGGAACACAGGGATTCATAGTCCTTGTAAGGACTTGTGCATGTCTCACAGGAGAAGAATCATTTAGCTATGAATGTCTAGCTCTCTTCCATGCTCTATACTTCTTCCTGGCACTGTTAGTTCTCTTTTTTCTTTTTTCTTTTTTTTTTTCTTTTTTTTTTTTCACCTATTAGTAATTCGCTCTTTTCTATTTTTCTGCTTTTCTACTTTTTTGATCTATTGCAAGAGTTATGCTAGGCTTCAGTCAGAGGCATGAACAGAACCTCCTTTTATGTAGTTTTAGGATATTTCCTGGAATGCCATACTACTAACTTAATGTGCTGAGCAAGGGTCTACAAGCCAAACCACAGTGAAAATACCCCAAGCAGTGCTAAAGAACAAAATATCTCCCTCCTCATCTCCATAGATCAATGACAGTCACGTTAAAATAAGAAATCTCAACCCTGTAACAGTGTTTTGATTTGAGCAAAAAGTCCATAAATTCCTAGCTTGGTCCCCCCTGGGGACTTGCGTATTCCTTGTGGATTGCATCCTAGATTATTTATTGTGGATCATTTTCCACTGGTATAGCAGCTGGGCTGCTAAAGAATTAGTCATTCTTTTCAAGAGGCTGTTCTAGTGTCTGATCTCAGCACTACGCAGCAGTTTCTGATCAACAACGTGAGCACTTTGGGTGTTATTTTCAAATACCAGTTTCACACTCCAGAAACCTTAGTGGATTTCTCTTCCTCTCTGCTTTTTACACTCAACAGTCGCATCTCTAATAGGTTTCTCCTAGCTGCTCCTCTCCGTTCCTCTCCTAGGTGTTCCTGCTTTTGGCAGGAGTGAAAATCCAGGGTGCTTCAGTCCTGCAGTGCAGACACAGCACTGGTGACTTCCCAGAGTGTCTCTCAGCATTCATACCAGCTACACTGAAACAAGAAATCTCATGTGGAAGGTATCATGAACTGTGTTCGTGGTGCGCCAGTTCTTGATAATGAAGGGTTTTGCTGTAATCTGCCAGAAAATCTACAAACTACAAAAGAAAGAAAGAAAGAAAAAAAAGACTGATCTTGTTTTCTCTTACATTAGAGTGACAGTGAGGAAGCAGGAAAGATATTTCCAGAATGTTTTTTATTATTATTATTATTAATGAGGCATGCCTAAGAGCCAAAAGAAAGAAAAATCACCCCAGAGAAGAAGGACACGAGGCAATGTCCTACCATCCACTGTAGGCTTTTGGAGTGCTGCAGCGAACAACCTCAAAACTGGCAAAGACAAGGCCCTGGTGGTGGTGTAACCAGGTAGGGCTCAAGGATGCGCTGTCTGTCTGTTTTGTCTCTTCCATTGAAAGGAGCTTTTCCTTACAGGGAAGGAGACATAGAAATGTACTGTGTGTGTATTGGCTGAGATGGCATTTTTGAATGACAGTTCTGTACAACAGCATGTTTCCCATGTCTAAATTCCACTCCTCCCTGTGCTCCCTCCCAGTCATAGACTCTAGCTAATGCAATTTGCACGGTCACATTCTGTTTCATAAACACAGCTGGTTTTTCCAGCCCGCTGACAACATTTATACACAGGCTGTGTTCAAAGGTAGACCCAAACTTGTGCCTTAGTTTACCTTTCTTTTCATTTTAGTCTCAAGAAACACAAGAATTTGTGTGCACTGGATCCTTACAAGAACAGAGAGCATGACGGTGAAGCCCCATATTACCACTTTTGTTACTTCTGTTCTTGCAGCAGGATCTGTTTTAAAAGGTGACTTGAAAAATAATACAAGAGAATGACTTTACCTCCTGTATTCTCTCCAGAAGTAAAATCAGGTTGGAGAAAAGTCTCCCCAAAGGTGGTTCATTACATGCTTGAGAAGTTGTTGCTAGGACTGAAGAGGTTACTGTCACGAAAACTTGCAACAAAATTCAGTATCATAGATACACTTGACTCCCAGTTATCTGCAGAAAAGCCCTTTTTATGCTAAGGTGCCAACATACAGTCTTCAGGCCCAGTAGACAAGTATTTTTGCACCATATTTAGCATGAGGTTTTTATGAGGATATTATGAATACACCATGAACACGCAGTGACTGCCACTCCTTGTGTGCATCTCTGCATAAGAAAACTGACTGTAAGCAACCCTTACTCCCAACTTTTCCATCACACCTTCTCTTTGCATGCAGGTGAGATATAATGCAAGAAATACATGCAGGCAGAGATATTTCTGCTCTGAAAAAATCTATCATCTGCACAGTAAGGCAGGAAGAATAGCCCAGTCATTACAGTGTATTTCCTGATTGTTGATATTATTTTGCAAATGGGATACTCTGAAATTTACACACAAGAGCAGGAACAGCTACCACAGAAATCCCTCTCTTGCAATTTCCTTCTGACTCACCCTGTCACCAGGATGTGACTCATCATGTCTGAGCAAGTGCTCTCTTAAGAAGTGTTGGTCACTGAAGATGTTTAAGAACTACAGTTCAACACTGGAGCAAGGCACTGAAGAGAGCTAGAGATGGCGGTGAGGATGGATAAACCACTTCTGCACAGTGACTTCTGTGTACAGTGCAACAGCAGAGAGGTCCTCCGTGTAGGCTGGTCTTTCTCTAACATAGGCTAATCAGTTGCATGAATCTTGCCAAGCTCCTGGCCTCACCGTCCTTTCAGATCAGCTTTTCCCATTCTAGCATTTATTTCAGTGAATTTTTGTAAAAACAGTTTCATTTCTCATTTATTTCGTAACTGTATGGAAATGCAGCCTATTGCTTTCTGTGCAGCTGTTGTATTCGTGCCCTGGTACATGAACAGATATCTTTCGTACCTTAACTCAAAATAGCAACTATTTCTAGAGCATCTTATTTTAAGGAGGCAGAAAATCTGGATGTTCGCTGTATTTAAGGGCTCAGCTCAGGTGGACAGTTAAATGAAACAGTCTTAGGTTCCAGCCAGGAACCAAAATTCACCACCTTCATGTTCAGGAAGAAAATACCCATCTTTGACAGCGCCGTTTTGGCTCCTTAATGTGCTTTCAATGTGTTACCCTTTTACTTTGTCATCGTAATCAGAACAGAGCCAGCTTCCTCTGTGGTTTCTTTGGAAATGCTGAAACGTGAACCATTTTCATCGCTTCGGCATTGGTCTTGCTGCAGTGTGCCGCTACACCCAAAGTACTGCTATTGCAGGAAAGAAGTGTGACGAGCTGGAAATGGAGGATGAGGAAGGCTACACTGCTTTAAATTTACAACCTCCAGCTTCAGTTATTACTCCTAGATACTCGAGCAGCAACAAGTGTTCTGCATTTAAGGTTCCAGCCAGTTGTGTTACAGTAGACAGTAAGTATAGATGGAAATTAGCTTTTCTATCTAAATCAGGGCATAACTTAAATTTGCATGTTCATGTTGATTGCTTTAGAATCCTTCTAAACTTTACGGTATACTCTTAGATAACTGTTCATAGAAACAGCAGAAAGAATAATCATAATGGAGTTTGTGTGCTATTGTTTATGATCACAGATGATATTTTTTCTGAAGCCTATCTTTACTCCAATTCTTTTTTCCATTTACTTCAACAGAAAAGACAAATTCCACCTTTCTATTGATTTTTTTACTACAAGAGAGGAAGGCAGTATAGTTTTATCAGATACTGCAGGCCTTGGAAGCAATTTCCTCAGCTATAGGGAGTAGAAAGGTGCCCTGTTTGTCAGTCTTAATAGTGAATGTAAGCTCTGATAGGAGTATATATTTTTACGTGTTTATACTCAAAGTTTTTCTATAAACAAGCTGAATGTTAACTAAGGTAGTGGATTGTGCCTGTGGAATGCCTGAGACCGTAAAATGATGACTTGAGTACAGTTGCTGCTGGTCATAAATTCTCCATGTGGCTTATGTGTGAAATAAATATGATTGCTGCTGTCTGCAGGTTGGGTAGAGTAGACAAAGACTAAATTAACATCACTCTGGTGCTGTCTGGAGAAGATCTAGGGCTTGAGAACAATCGCTCGACAAGGAGGATGGAAGAGAAGCTGTTGAGAAGCAGCAGCCAGAAAACCAAAGATAAAATATTAGGGAGTGCGATCTAGGCACAGAGCTTTCCAGAAAGAAACAGGTTGGCAAGCTTAGAAAACTTTTAAAATGGCCTTTTGATATGCACAGAGAACCTGTAAAGTAGATAGATTTGGGACCTCTATAGTTCACCTTTTCCAACTTTCTGCTGGAAAGAGCTAACTCTAAAGTCTGATCAAGTTTCTCAGGGCCTTGTCCACTTGAGTTTTGGAAACCTCCAGGGGTGGAGATCTCACAACCTCTCTGGGCACTTGTTCCAGTGCTGAAGAGGAACGAATTTTTTTCCTCACATCTAGAAGTTTCCCTGATGCAGCTTGTGACTGTTGTATTGCATCCTTTTGCTGTGCCTCTGTGGGAAGAGTCTGGCTCCATCTATGAAGCC